ATGTCACCCATAGGAAGTATATTTACCTAACTGAAGTGTAAAATTCAGCTTATTGTATTGGTTTTAATTTGTGACCCAATTCAACTCACTGTGTATTATTAGTCTGATGCTGGTCTGTAAATCATGTTAGAGTTCAAAGACATACCATTGGTAGAGCTAGGGCACAACCTCCAATTGGTGGCAGATTATCCAAATTTGGGGCATAGAGTACTGAAATTGGCTTTTGAAGGGATCATTACATGTTCCCTGGTATAGAAAACTGGTAAGATCATATGGAATGACCAAATGTGATGGTAAATAACCAAATAACAGGAAGTGTTTAACCACAGCACACACTTCCAGACCTGGGCCACCATGTCAAAGCTGCAGTGGCTGCTGCTGCTGCTGCTGACAGGAGTCGCTGCCAGCGAGGACCCATTCTCCATGTTTGAGCCGGACCAGCCCACTCCCGACTCCAGACAGGACGCCTGCTGCGCTGCAGCCGTCCGGTGTCGCAGCCTGCTCGCCTCCTACAGCACGCAGCGGGCGCGCTGGATGACGACGGCGGCGGCGGCGGCGGCGGCGCGACGACGACAGTGCCCGGCGCGGCCAGCTCCGGCCGACCGGCGCGTAGCCGACTCAGCCTTCATGCGGCGGCACGTGGCGCGCACGCTGCGCCTGCTGAAGCTCGACGGCGACCAGCCGCCGGCCGAGAGCGAGACGTTCCTGCTGCGGGTGCACATCGCCGAGATGCAGGTGCGTCCGCCGACCGCGCCGGTCACCCGTCGGCACGTGCACCGTGCGCCAGTTGGCGGGGTGGTCCGGGCTAGCACGTGTGAGGCGAATCACGCTGCGGATTGGTAACGTCATTCCCGTCACGGGTGTCTGTACCACGGCACGGCACATCTCACGGGTGCCGGTACCACAGCACAGCACCTCCCACGGGTGTCTGTACCACGGCACGGCACATCTCACGGGTGCCGGTACCACAGCACAGCACCTCCCACGGGTGTCTGTACCACGGCACGGCACATCTCACGGGTGCCGGTACCACAGCACAGCACCTCCCACGGGTGTCTGTACCACGGCACGGCACATCTCACGGGTGCCGGTACCACAGCACAGCACCTCCCACGGGTGTCTGTACCACGGCACGGCACATCTCACGGGTGCCGGTACCACAGCACAGCACCTCCCACGGGTGTCGGTACCACGGCACGACACATCTCACGGGTGCCGGTACCACAGCACAGCACCTCCCACGGGTGCTGGTACCAAAACAGAGCACCTCCCATGGGTGTCGGTACCATGGCACAGGACATCTCACGGGTGCCGGTACTACGGCACAGCACCTCCCGCGGGTGACGGTACCACAGCACAGCACCTCCCACGAGTGTCGGTACCACAGCACAGCGCATTTCACGGGTGCTGGTACCACAGCACAGCACCTTTTACGGGCGTCAGTACCATGGCACAGCACCTCTCACGGGTGTGGGTACCACAGCACAGCATGTCTCACGGGTGTCGGTACCACGACACAATACCTCTCACGGGTGTCGGTACCACAGCATAGCGCATCTCACGGGTGCCGGCAGCACAATGCAGCACCTCCCACGGGTGTCGGTACCACGGCACAATACCTCTCACGGGTGTCGGTGTCACAGCACAGCGCCTCTCACGGGTGCTGATACCACAACACAGCACCTCTCTTCCGAAAAGGAGAACCCATGGGTTTCCACTGATGTACGAGGCAATGATGCGTGCAATGAGCAGCCGCAATGAGGATTTGCCAATTGCACAACTCGGCTACAGAAACAAGTCTGAGGCTGCACCGCACAGGGTTCTCGGAGTTCGCACTCTCCTCCCGGGGCCCTGAGAGTCCAGCAAGGCTCAGAGTCCAACAGGGCCCTGAGAGTCCGACCATGAGTACGTAACTTCGTTTGAGAACCTCGTCGTGAACGCAACACAACGTGATGTCTTGTGAAGTGCCTCATGAGTACTGCGAAATACCTGTGGATTTTTTCCGGAGGTCGTAAGCTCAGCGCTGTTCTTGCGCTGGAGCGTGTCGCGTGAGTGTGCTTGACCGTATTCATCAGCCCGCAGTGCCCCGCATATCTGCTAACCCGTCCCCTTGGTGGGCGTGTGTGCCAGGTGCTACGCCTGCGCCGGTTTCTGTCCGGCGACGATGTGGCGCTGGTGGAGGTGGATGCCATCCTGGAAGAGGCGCTGTCGGCCGGTCAGCTGGAGTCGCTGTCGGTGGGGGGGCCGCCGCGCTGGGCGCGCCCGCTGCTCACCGTCGAGTTCTGGCTGCTGCTGCTGGGCGCCACGCCCGTTGCCTGGCTGGCCTACGCCCTGATCACCGACCGCTCGTGGCCGCACATCCTCAGCCGCCTCGCATTCTTCGTGTTCGTCGGCAGCTGCGTGTGGGACTGGCAGCGCCTGTACCAGGCGGCGCTGGCCGAGCGGCACGCGGCAGCAATGGGCCGCGTGCCGGCCGAGTGTCTGGGCGACGAGCGCGGCTGGACGGACGGCCTGGCCAGCTACGTCAGAGGCTTGCTCAGTTTCTCCTCGGCGGACGCCGTGTGCCGTCAGTACCACGCGGCGCTCACCGTCAGCCCGTTCCTGGATGTCACCCCGCTGATGGCCGTGGCCGAGACGCTGACCCGCTTCCTGCTGCATCCGGCCGACCAGGTGGGCCGCGGCTTCGGCCGCTTCTACGCCGCGCTGGCGGCGGAGGTGCCGGCGCTGTGGTTGCTGCCGCTGATGGCGCTCAGCACCGCCACGCTGCTGGCGCTGGTCGTGATCGCCTGTCGCTGCCGGCCGCCACAGCGTCGCGCCGCCGGCCCCCCGCAGCACGTGCTCGTGGCGCCTGGCGCCGAGGAAGTGCACCTGCTGGTGTCCGGTGAGGGCCACGTGTGCATGCTGGGCGAAGCATCGCGGCGGCGCACCACAGTCGCCGCATCCGACGCCGACGCCGTCGCCGGCGGCCCCGGCTGGTTGCGCCGGCTCGGCGGCGGTCTGATGCGCTCCGCCGCGGGCGTCGCCGCCGCTTCCGCCGCCACCGCCAGCACCGCCGCCACAGCCGCCGCCCGCTCGCTGCGGCGGCGCGGCGCGGCGCCGCCGGCCGTGCGCGCTGCGGGCGAGATCGAGCCGGCGGCGGCGATCTCCGCCGACCCGGTCCGGCGCCATCTGCCGGTCGGTGACGGCGCAGGAAACGTCCGGGGCGAGGCCCCAGCCGCCGCCGCGGGCGACCCGCCGCCATCTTCGGGCGCCACGAACCCGGCCGGCGGTGGCGAGGCCGGTCCGAAGGACGACGACAGCGGACCGAGCGGCGCGGCCGGCGCCGGAGACGGCGGCCAGCCGTCGCCCACGCCGCCTCGCGAGCCGGTCCCGCGCGGCGGCGACGCCCCGTCGGCGGCGAAGAGCTCGCCGGCTGGGGATGCGCTGCGTGGCGACGGAGATGCCCACGTGGAGGCGCCGGCCTCGCCCTTTCTGGACAGGATCAAGGAGGTGATGGACACGTCGGCGTAGGGGTGGTGCGGCGCCGCCCTGAGCGGTTGGACACTCACGCTTGTGGCCTGGTATGAGATGTGTGTTAGTCTGTGGTTGTTGGAAGAAAGCACGTGATATTTGCTTGTTCGTGTTTTTTTCGTGCTGGAATGCGGTCTTATTTAATCGTCGCTGTTTAGCTGCATTTGGCATAGCCACGTATGCGCATATATCTGCATATCATTCATTTTGTGCGTTCGTGTTGTGCAGGGACTTCGTTTGACATTAAGATGCATCATTTACATATTGAGTGTGGCTCATACCATCCCGAGTCATTGAAAGTGATGGCCGGGACGCGCTGAGGCGTCCTGTACCGACGTGCTGGCGAGGCGGCTCGTGTGACTTCATAAGGATTGTGATTGCGTGTGGCTGCGAACCTGCTGTTCCTGGTCACTCCGGTATCGTCGATGGCACGTCTTAATGCCGCTGGCTGCTACGGCAAGCTGTCACTGCTCGTCGCAGCTTAGCATGGGTTGGTGTTGATCGTAATGCCGCGGATATGCTATGTCAAGCTCTTGCGGCACTTTGTGATTGCTTGGATTTGCCGTGCAATGTATCGTGCACGTGATAGTGCAGACTCGTGACTTGTTGTCTCACGTATGTGGCTCGAGGCGGAAGCCAGGTGCCCAGAACGCGCTGTTGTGCCCGTGCTAGCGGAATGAACAGAACTTCTGGGGTTTTAAGGTGAAAGTTCTGAGGACTGCCAGTCTGGTAGCGTTACTCATGGTTATGAAGACGGACTGGATCAAAGACAGACCCATTTTTAACGAAGTGCAATGACAACGTATCCTGTTGCAATGAATTTGGTAAAACTTCGTTTGCCCCCCTCCCCGGTGGGGGCAAATCTAATGTGCGCATCGGACCACACAAAAAGCAGATACTCGTGGCGGGGAGAAGTTCACCGGTCTAACGCCGAAGTTCCCCATGTCTCCAGTCCAGTTATCTAGTTGACGTTCTCCGTGTCTCAAGCAAACGGGTTGAGGCGTGCAATGAATGAAAGGGGGAAATAGGGTCAGTCATTGGGAGATTCCGGAACATCACATCGGTGCCGGGAGGTGACTGTACCGGCTTGGTGGCATTTCAGCGGGTACCACCGAACCAAGCGGGTTGGTTAGGTGGTGCCACCTGTTGTGATTTCAACTTTCGCAAATATTAGGACCCGTCCACGTGGAATGAAAACGGAAAGCAACCAACAAATGTCGCCGCCTTTCTCTGAACTAATCGCAGCTCCCGGGTGGCTCTACGCTTGGTGCTAGTGCCTACTCTTCCCGTCACGGTCATCGACTCCTGTATCACACCTCGCCCGGGCAGGCTCGCATGCAAAAACGCCACAAGGATGGCGTAGCTCATACCAGTAGTATACTGATGTGAGCTACGCCATCCACATGTCCATGGACCCACCCTTTTCCCGTGGACCCGTGGACTCCAGAAAACAAAAACATCGAATAAAACATGTAAATAAATGTCAATCGTCATGTATTACACATTCAGGGCTCATCGGGGATTATTAGCGCACCGGGGGGGGGGGGGGGGGGCAAGAAAGACGCGTAAAATACCGCCCACGGCACCCACAGGCGTAAACAGACATCCCCACCCGCCTAACAAATGACCCGGGGTTATGGCCCACCTTGCTACAGCCAGTGTGCAGTGTCATCCCTTCCTACTCCACCCATCCAAGCAGCATTAAAACGCCTCCCCCGACGGGTGTGCGAAGACATCGGACAGACGCGGAAACCAGGTACGGCTGACAGTGAGGCGCACGAGCATCCCGCGGCGGCCGAAGCCGTGTTCCAGGCCGGCGAACGCTGGCGAGATGGCCGCCGGCCTCCGCGTCAAACATTGCACTACGGACCGACTGCACTACGGCAGCCGGGCTGGACCACACGGGTCGGGTCGGGTAGGACAAGCGCCACAACGCATTCAGTCATTCGGTCCGACACGCCAGGACCACAGACGATCCGTCCGGTGCGGCCTGAGCAGTCATGTGCACTCTCACCAGGGGAAGGGATCGATAAATCAAGCGAGCCATGCACATCCAAAGGACGTTCAAATATAATTCATCATCTCTGTACGTCCTAGGTCGGCAATGGGCATCCACCTGTGGCTAGGAGAGGGGTGGTCCACCAGGTCACCACGCAGCCAGACTCCTGTCCTCGCAACTCCCATACGTGCAGTAAATGGCACCACTAACCACGTGCAAGAGCGGGTCTACTTAACGTCCCTATCACCAGCACAGCGCACTAAAACAAGAGCGACCGGGGCTCTGTGGCCGCCGGCCCAAGCCAGCATCCACACAACCACCAGCCACTACTGGGACGGCGCACCGGCAGCTCTACACGCGCCCGGTCCTCCCCAAAGCCCACAGCGAGAGCCACCACGCACCGCGCCCCCAAACACTGGCCACTGTCATCCGGCGGCACGAGACGCCGGTCAGAGCGAGCGGCCCATCCACAGGATGACCTTCATCACGAAGTAGGCGACGCCGGCCGTGTAGAGCATCACCTCGCGTGAGCGCCGGCGCTGGTTCTCCACCTCAATCTGCATTAGACGCCGGTTGACCTTGAGCAGCTGGCGGCGCAGCAGCTCCAGCTCCTCGCCGGCGCTCAGGTAGCCGGCCACCGCCGGCGGCGAGAACTGCTCGCGCAGCACCAGGCTGCGCTCGGAGCGCGGCCGCCGCTCCGGCGAGTCCTCCGGCGGCGAGGCCGGCTCGGCCGGCGGCAGCAGGTGCTCGTCGACGCGCAGCACGCGCGGCGGCGCCTGCACGCGCGCCCCCCAGTCGTCTGCGGCCGCCGGCTGCGCGGCGCGCTCCAGCAGCAGTTCACGCGGCGCGCCGCCGCCGGCGCCGTGCCGCTCGCCGCCCAGCACCACGATACGGTCTGGCACGCTCATCTGTGCGGCGCCGGCGCCGTTCGGCAGGCCGGCATGCTGCTGGAACCGGTCGTCGCCCTCGCCCGTCACCTGGATCCGCTTGGGCACGCGCATCCGGGCATTGATGTCGGCCGCGAACGCCAGGTCGTCGTCAAAGGCGGCCGACAGCCGCGCCGGGCTGGCCGAAGCCGACATGCCCGGACCGTGACGTCACTGAAGTGCCGCGATGACGTCACTGCAGCACAATGATGATCAGTGATGTCCTGGTTTGCCAGGGCAGGATTGGCATGTGAGCATCTGCATAATGTTTGCATTCAAGAAGCAGCACCAAGTATTTGTTATGAATTGCAGAGGCTATGAAAAAACAACCCAACATCTTTCAAAATTTCAATCATACAAAATATCACTGCTCTGCAATCATAGTTCTCCAACATTTGAACTTGTCATGTGCATGTAAATCCTGCCTACAACATCCATTATTTTATACATATATACATATCAGTTGTACATATCCATTATACATCATACATCATACATTACATACATATCCAACATTACCAATGATGGGAAAATAATCCTCTGATTATAAATCATGAGCATATTGAACTCTGCTTGCAAACTGCTGTTCGACAACATCTGATTTGCTATTATTAAAAAACGTATCACAGAAATATCAACGCCTGAGCCTAAGGTATGCATGACTGCATCTCTGTAAGAAGTTGAAATGTCAGCTGTAAGTTGTGACATATGCTGACACTCATCACACAGAAATACACACACATGCATGTGCATCCACTTGGACACAGACACATGTGCATAGATATCCTAACCTGGGAGCTGTAATCACCTGTGCCAGACTGGTGCTTGATTTAAATCCATAATACCATATGATTCAGAACATCACCATATACCCTTTTGTATATTTGCATGAGTGAAGAGGCTTTCCCATGCTTCAAATGGATTCTCATGACATTGGAAGAAATGTCAGTTTTTATCTTTAGCAGCACTTTCATTCTCATTCAAAGTCTCTTAATGTTGATTCAGATGGCAAAACCACAAAAATAGAGTGAAATCCCATTTCATATAATTTCCCCACCCAATGTGCAGAATGTCTGCATAACCTTGGTGAGCTGAACCTGATGCCTATGTGTGCCAAGCCCAGGCCAGAAACATTGAGCTGAATTTTCATATCTATTTATTCATGAAAAATATTTGAGAGCTTCCTTGTCAAAGACTATCTTTGCAACACGACAATTGGTTGAAATATCATCTCCCCATGGACTAAAGCACTGCAGACCTTGTGGCAAATATTCAAAATTTTAGCATTCATATTAACTATGTGCATGCACTGAAACTGTTGCTGCAATGTCCTGGCTATGCCAAGTGCTTGGTGCAACAGGGATGTTTTGCAGCCTGGCTAGCAGGTAGCTGGACTGAAGAACACTCAAAAGACTTCCAGCATTTAACATGCATGCATTCTGCATGTAGTTCCATGCATGCATAACTAGAATTTGTCCAGACTCAGCCAAGCATTGCTTCACCCATGCATGTACAGCCGTATGTGGCTAGGCATATATCTGTCAACCTTAATCATTCACACAACTAACTGCAGTGAGAAAACGTTGCACCCCAAACACACCACTGATCTCACTCTTGACAGGTCAACTAGCAAGACACTGACATTGCCTACAGAAGCTCCTATAACAAAGCAAATCGCATCTAGTGGCTAAAATATCTAATGGCGTCAGAAACGTGTTCCAATCACTATGACCGTTACAGGCACCAACAGCACATAAAATATCCTGAAAAAGCTGACAGCAGAGCGGTTTCAACACTTACCTAAATTGCCGTCGAGCGCCCTCCGCACGGAATCCAACTCACAGAATCCGTCCCGTCTGCCGCGTCACCTTGACGCCTCGGAAGCCACCCACGCGAAATCCAGCCTTCCGTGCCGTGATCGCCTTACACCCACGGCTTCTACCTTCCGCCGCTGGGTACTTTGCAGTCTCGGACGATGCCTGCCCTTACAATAAACTTGGGTCAGCTGACTACTGTTCTTCATCTTTTTTGTAACCCCCGGAACTAGTTTGGCCATAGCAAATTACTCGTGCACGAAATGCAGCATGCCTTCAAAATGAATGCAAGCCATTTCTTGACGTTTTTCATGAGGACTTTTCCAACGAAAAAGAGTCAAGAGGTGTTTTTCGAAGCACGTTTGCGGAACCCTGTCTCCACACTTACCACGTTGCCGCATTGTTCCAAGGCCCCGATCGAAACCACGCTGGCCATTAACTTGCGAAAGTTGTGCGCTTATTCATCTTGCACGCAAAGTCTTAAATTTGATTATCTGAATGCACTATTCTTCTCTAACTTTTTTCAACGTCGAGAAGCATATGCTCTGGGCTTAATTTACTGATACCACGGCAGCCCAGAGACCGTAAATTTTCCAAAGGATCCGAACGCGCAACAAACGAAATACAAGGCAAGAACATGCATGTATTCCGATCAGACAACGTCACATGAGATAACTCTCGAACCGATGTCCCGTAAACTGTTAGGACACACAAAATGGCTTGTAAGCTAGAACGGTACAAACTTACAGGGCACCATTTCTCAAAATGTATTCAGTTTTCACAACATGCTGAGACGCCAACTTGGGGCACAATGGAGCACACTGTCTAAGGAACCGATGAACCTGCCTCCTGCAAGCGGCTCCACAAGGCTCCTACCATACCCAACTTGGTCAACACCACCTAGTATCTTCACATGCACATAGCAACCAGCCTAATGCATGTTCAATACAACAGACGATGGAGTTTGCAAACCCTCTCCACATGCTTTGTGACTGGTAAGGCGTCTCATCGTTACGGTGCGGCCCTCCGCAACGGCCCGCTCATGCCGCGGCTGCGCTCGTGCCACGCCTGCAACCGTCCGCTGGCCGTCGGCACCACCAGCGGAGGAGAGCGTTCCGCCGTGCCGCGGGTCAGTCCCGCCGGCGGCTCAGTACGCGGCTGCCTGGTCGTCGCCCCACCACTCCTGGCGCTGCTCGGGCGGCGCGGCGCGCCCGTCGGTCGCGTCGGCCGCCTGCTCGCCGCCCGTCTCGGCCGCCGCTTCCACCGCCTCAAGCTGGCCCTGCCCGGCGGGGAAGGGGGACGTCAGCCAGCGGCGCGGCAACCGACGGCACACGGCTGACAGGGGGCCGACCGGGCGGCTTCACACCGTCGTGCTGCTGTGCTCCTTCAAATAGGTGGCAGGAGGTTAATGTTAACGCGCGCGGCTGGAAGCTCTTGTTGGGCTTTCACGCCATGTTGCGACGCCTCCCCCCCCCCCCCCCCTTCCCACTCGAGATCAATCGATGAGAATTGAGCTAAGGCCGTCGTCAAGCGATTGTCTCGCTGCCTCAGAAGTCTAGAGTAAAACGGCACTCAGCGCGTGCTTCGCCATGACGCAGTACGGAGCGCACGCTACAACGGCCATGCGTCCCGCTTCTTGCTCCGCACGTGCGCATCCCGCAGCGATCCCGTAAAGAGAGATTGCTGATACTGCGCACACGGGCCCCAGCCTTGTGCGCCTCGCGTCTCACGTCTCGTGCGTCTCGCTTCTTGCTCCGCACGTGCGTATCCCGCAGGGGTCCCGTGAAGGGAAATTCCAGATACGGCGCACACGGGCCCTGGCCACCCAATGACCACCAGAGAGCACGAGTTTGCAGATCTCAGTAGCATCAGCCCATCAGTCGGACGCCTTCACAGCCACAGAAACCACCCAGCAACGCGTCTTCTTAGTCCCCGCTAACGGGGGGGGGGGGGGAGGGGTAGGTGGGGGAGGGGGGGGGGGCAATCAATAGCCCCAACATACCACCTGCGCGCTTTTGAGCACTACCAACACCTGGCCACTACCCATTAAACTCTAAGGTAAACGAAATAGACTCAACCATGCCACAATGTAACACGATAGTCAACACGGTGGAAAACATACGAAATGTCATAGACTTAACCTAATTCAACAAACCTAACTACACTCTCACCTACACCAAACATCACTGGTCCCGGCGCCGCAGCCGGCGAACCCGCCCTGCAGTGGCGGTCCGGTCCTTGTCAGTCAGTCACCCCCGCCACCCCTCTTGCCATGTGGTCGTCAGTCAGATACCACAGCCACCCCTCTCGCCATGTGGGCTCCCGTCAGTCAGTCACCGCCCGCCACCCCTCTCACCATGTGGTCGTCAGTCAGCCACCGCCGCCACCCCTCTCACCATGTGATCGTCAGTCAGTCACCGCCGCCACCCCTCTCACCATATGGGCTCCCGTCAGTCAGTTACCCGCCGCCACCCCTCTTCAACCACGTGGGTTCTGGTGAGTCATTCACCGCCGTCTCCCCCCCCCCCCCCCTCCCTCATCATGTGGTCGCCAGTCAGTCCACAGACGCCACGCCCCTCACCATGTGGGCTCTTGTCAGTCAATAACCACCCCGCCGCCCCTCTCAAGATGTGGGCTCCCGTCAGTCATCACCGCCGCCACCCCTCTCGCCATGTGGCTCCGTCAGTCAGTCACCCGCCGCCACCCCTCTCGCCATGTGGGTTTTCGTGAGTCATTCACCACCGTCACCCCTCTCACCATGTGGTCGTCAGTCAGTTACCACCGCCACCCTCTCACCATGTGGTCGTCAGTCAGTCACCGTCACCCCTCTCACCATGTGGTCGTCAGTCGGTCACCGCCGCCACCCCTCACCATGTGGTCGTCAGTCAGTCACCACCGCCACCCTCTCACCATGTGGTCGTCAGTCAGTCACCACCGTCACCCCTCTCACCACGTGGTCGTCAGTCAGTTACCACCGCCACCCCTCTCACCACGTGGTCGTCAGTCAGTCACCGTCGCCGCCCCTCTCACACCATGTGGTCGGTCACATGCAGCTGCACGTCCTCGAACACGACGTTGGCGACGCCGTGCTTGCGGCGCATGTGACCGGTTAGCTGGCGGCGCGAGTGGAAGCCGGCGCCGCACTCCTGGCAGTAGAACCTGCCGGCGCCGGCCGGCACACGGGCGTCACGCGGACGTCACGCGAGCGTCACACAAGGCGTCGCACGGACGTTACAGGGCGTTACACGGGCGTTACACGGACATCACAGGACGTCACACGGGTGTCACGCGGACGTCACGCGAGCGTCACACGGACGTCACACGGGCGTCAAACGGGAGTCACAGGGACGTCAAACGAGCGTCACACGGACGTCACACGGGGCGTCACTCAGACGTCACACGGGCGGCACGCGGCCGTCACACAGAGGTCACATGGAAATCACACAGGGCGTCACACGGGCATCACACGGACGTCACACGGGCGTCCCGCGGACGTCACGCGAGCGTCACACGGGCACGGGGCGTCACACAGAAGTCACACGGGCGTCACGCGGACGTCACACAGACCGGACGTCACACGGGCATCACATGGACGTCACACGGGGCGTCACACGGACGTCGCACGGGCTTCACACGGACGTCACAGAGACCGGGCGTCACGCCGGGCCACATCGGTGTCGCACGCTGTCAGTCGAGCCCGGGACTGGCGGCGTGGGTGGAGCCGTGAACACGGCGTCGCACCCGGCGGAGGTCTGTTCAGATGGACACATGCTGACACGCTCCGCTGGGACGGGAAGGACCAAGGGTGCAGGACGCTCGCCAACATGGGCGCAAGGGTCCATCGTGCCACCTTACACCGAATCAGTGGAATCTGTTGCAGGTGATACCAGCGGAAGCTGGGACCATCGCGGTCAGAGAAGCTATCCCGTCTGTTGCATACTGATTATACAGATACGACGACGAAGAGGCCATATCACTAAAACGAACATACACATGAGAGAAGCAAGCAGACCTCCGACATTAGCCGCCCTCCCATCAGATGTCGGCGCCACTCTCAGCGCGGCCATATCTGAACTGTCCTCAGACGACTTCACCACCACGGGCACGCAGACATCCACCTGGCCGTGCTGCCTGGAGGGGCTCTTGGATGCATCACACGGCACACGGACTGGACGGCATCACACCACCGCGTTCCAGAGGGCAGAGCCTGAGCTCGGTCTGACCCGAGCCCTGACTTGAGCCAGACCTGCCCCAAGCCCTGACCTGAGCCCCGACCTCAGCTCGGTCTGACCGGAACCCTGACATGTCCCGGGCCCTGACCCAAGCTCGGTCTGACCCGAGCCCCCCCCCCCCCTCTCCCCTCAGTCGAGCCTCGACCTGAGCTTGGTCTGATCTGAGCCGCGATCTGAGCTCGGTCTGATCTGAGCCGCGACCTGACCCGCGCCACTACCCGGGGCCTGACCGGCCTCATTACGACCCCAGCATGCGCTCAACGATGATTAACCCTCTCTTCACTCCCGACCAGCTTACTCCGAGTCCTGGCCGACCCAGCCCGTCTCCACCTCGGCGGCAGCGACGCGTCACCCACGCCAGACGGCGGCCATCCGCGGCACAGCGCTGACCCATGCGCAGCGCAGACCACCTGAGCACAGCGCTGACCCATGCCGGGCGGCAGTGACCCCTGACCCATGTCTGGCCGCGGCGATATCTGACCGGCGCCCGGCGCCCGACGAGACTCACCTGAGTTCGTTGGCCACGGCGTCGTCGGCCATCTCCTCCAGGATCGTGGACTCTGTGACGTCCTCGAACTCGATCTCCAGCACGCCGTGTTTGTGGCGCATGTGCGCCGTCAGCTGCTGCTTCTGGCGGAAGCCGTCGCCGCACTCCTGGCAGTAGAACCTGCGGCCGGGGGCGGGAGCGGGGGGCGCGGGACAGGGCAGAATTAGAGCCGGGCGGCCGTGACGGCGTCCGACGCGTCAGCTGACCATCCGACGGCGGACAGCGACCGGCTGACGTCAGCTGAGCCGCTGACCGGCTGACTTCAGCTAACTGGCTGACGTCAGCTGACCGGCCGACGTCAGCTGAACCTGGCTGACCCAGTCAAGCTCTAGCCAGCGGACAGCCGACCGGCCGGCGTCAGCTGACTGACTGGCGTCAAGCTGACCGGCCGACGTCAGCTGACCAGTCAACTCTAGCCAGCGGACAGCGACCGGCTAACGTCAGCTGACTGACTGACGTCAGCTGACCGGCAGATGTCAGCTGACTTGCTGCTCTTACGGCGATGGACACGCCATGGAGGGCAAGGCAATTCAGGTACACGGGAGCACAACGTGGATACCATATGTCAACAAGCTTCGTTAGTTCACAGCATAATTGTTTAAGTCACAAATAAGTATCCTCTGCTGAACGGGGCTGATACATGAGGATCACAGCACAATGACTGTTGGGAAACAAGGACTCCACACTGCCGAAGGAGAGCACAGCATTAGCATAGCACAGCGTTAGCAGAGCACAGCGTTTACCTTGTACGAGTTGGTGTGGATCATCTCGTGCCGCTGCAATGCTGTAGAGGGAGACAAAAGCCCTTGCCGCAGTGGTTGCAGACGTAAGGCCGCTCCTTCCATGTGCACGCGCTGCCGGCAACATCAGGGTGAGCACCGCGGCGGCCTCCAGTGGGAGGCGGTCTTGAGCGCGGCTCCGGGTGTCGGGTGCACCAGCTGGCGCTGGACGCCCCCGTGACAGCCAGCGGCCCGGCCAGGCTTATACTTACGCGGAGTACGCACGTACAGAGAACCCGGTCCCAGATGTAAAGAATAGTGAAGCGGGCAGAGAAGGCACTTCCCGGGGGCACGATGATGGCTTTGCGCATCCCCGTTATTATATCAGTGGCATCTAACCTCCAATAAGCACATCCGTAGCATCCAACATCTCCCAAATTATATCAGTTGAGTCCCACATTCTCGGAATCCCACGTACGGCTGTCCTAAACATCCACATGCAACAACCTTTCACCACGCGAAAGCAGTCGATCCGAACCCCAGAGTGTCCTCAAGCCCCCCCCCCCCCCTACCTTGATGTGTCCAGCGATCACGTCCTCCCGGCTGAAGAGCTTCTTGCAGATGGGGCACGGATGCTGGATGTGGGAGTCCACGTGTCGCTTTAGCCTGTGCGAGACAAACTTCTTGCAGATGTTGCAGACCCCGCCTGCGGACGGGGCGTCAGGCACATCAGCGAGGCGGCCGGGCGGCGACGCGGAGGACCAGGAGGACCGCTTCGCTCCTCTTCCTCGCCGCCCCCTTCCTTCCCCTTGTGGCGGCTCTCCAGCGGCACTCACCTGCCAGCGAGGCGCTCACCATCTTGCCGTCGGGCCCTATCACCGGCTCCCGCTTCCGCTTGTTGGGCGAGTCGTGCGTCCTCATGTGGGTCTTCAGGTGCTTGACGTGTTTACCGCACCGGCCGCACACACCTGGTGGCGACCGCCGCGGCGCGTCAGTGTCCACGATCGCAGCCCGGCCGAGCGCGCCTACACTGGCTGCCGCCTCCACACGACACACAGCCCGTCACGGCGCCAGACGGTGTCCGGCTCCCGCACGTGTTACTCTGATCGCTGTGTTGATCTATGTAGTGTGTACTGACGCGGCGTTAGAATAGCCACTCGCTGGATTCCTGAAGGTTCGCAATAATAACAATAATAATAATAATAATAATAATAATAATAATAATAATAATAATAATAATATAATGATAACGGCAATAATACTATTGAAAATAATAATAATCATAATAATAGTAATAATAATCTCGCCGCAGCGGTGTGTGGAGAAAGACGCTGCCACATGTGCCAAAGCGTAGAAAGTTATGAGTCTGGAGCACAGCTGGCTGATGGGCAGAGCTACGCTATCGACAGCTTACTCGCATGACAGTCTTCGTATTGTCGCACTCGTTCATTAGTTGCTTCTACGCTGATAGCACCGTGAGTGTGCAAGCCAAGAAGTGTTCAAAACTGTTAAGGTGATTGAATGAACGTTGAAAGACTGCATAACGTTAGTTATAACAAAGCAATATGTGACCAAACGTTATCAACACAAACGAGCTATTTTGCGTGACGACAAATACACTAGATGAATTTACGTAAACACGTTGGCGTGACTCTTTCTTAACACATTCGGGTGCCTAAACGTTTTGGACACTAGGCCGTCCGCAAAAGAGTTAGTACCTGCTGTAAACCTGAGCAGTCAATGGCTACGTGTAACAGTTCACAGCTCCCAAGTCATAAAAAAGTGGGGAAGGAAAATATTGATCAACCGAACCGTGCAAACACAACTCTGGACCAACGAAGCCAGTCACGGCCCACAGATGCTCAACAGCAACGAGCCACCGAGCCAAATGGACTGCTGCCGCTGCACAACACCGCGGCGCCGATCGGCCAATGAGGGGCGCGGCGCCGTGGCCGTGGGCCCGCCTACCGGCCGCGTTGACCCGCTTGCACTCCGTGACGGTGCTCCGCATTGGCCTGCTTGCTGTCGAACTCCGTCCTGCAGCGTCGACACCAGCTCTTGCCCTTGGGTGCGCCGTGTGCAGGTGCTCGATCTGCTCCTTCAGAGTGTGCAGCACCTCAACCGCACCTGCCGACACGTCACGTCACATGTCACACGGCACCCTTCAGACATCACGCGCATCGGGCCAGTGGGCGCGACATCGAGTCAGCGGTGGCCGTTAGGCACACAGGAGAAGCATCCAGGTACTTTCCAATCTGAAACGTTCTCGTCAAATGATCCTTATGCATGATGGCTTCGGCGCGGTCGTTAGGGCACGGAACTGCAGCTGGTGCATAAACCTGGTCCATACAAACAAAACTATAGACTGATAGCTCAGTGCTTAAAACACCTCCGATGTATAGTTGAGGAAGAACGTACCGACGCTAAAGGAGGACAGCATAAGTACACCTTAATGACGTCTCAAGATGTGTACGAGACGACTGTTTGCTTCGCAAGCAGTTGTTTCACACGCACACAGCAGCAGCACAACAGAACGTTCGTGTACGTGCGACACGTACTTACGTTCTCTCCCCGTAAACACGCCAGGGCCGGCACACCAGCGAGTCGCTGACTCACCTGACGCAGTTGTGTGACCCGTCCGAATGTGAGAGCGGCGCTCAAACTCTTGTTGTCGACGTTCAGATGCTGGATCTTGTCCATGTCGGCCTGCACCAAACCGGCGAAATCACACCACCGCGGTCGGACACCCCTGCACGAGCACCCTGTCCGGTTCCGGCCCGCACCACACGGCACCACCGCCGGGCAGGCGCAAGCGGCGGCCGTTCAGCACCAGTTCAGCCCCGGCAGCGGGCAGCCACGACCGCGCGGCCCAAACTTAACGGCTCCGGATCACCACTGCCCGTGATCCCAGGGGTACCCGGGACTGTGCGCGTCCCATCCCAGTGGTGCGAAGTGGCCAGATAAACAAACAAGCCTGGCCAGCTAGCCGGTGCGGCAGCCTGTCCAGCCTCGCAGCCTGGTAAAATCGCACCACGCTTCACGCCATCTATCACAGGAACAACATCCATCAACGGGATTGGTGAAGTGTACTTGTCCCCAAAATGGTCAGCTCGGCGGCTGGTCACAACACAGTACAGGCCGGGGCCGGCAGAGCCGAGCCTGTCGCCGCGGCGTGGACCGGCGGCGGCGCGGCCGGGGCGGTCGAGCGCCGGCCGGACGTACCAGGTTCGCCCGGCGCAGCTTGAGCGTGCAGCGCGGCGTCTTGACGTGCTTCACCTGCTCGCGCAGCGTGCTGACGCTGCTGAACTCGATCACCTGGGCTGCGGCGGCGGCGCCGGCGTGCCGGGACTGCGCCGCCGGCTCCTGGGGACGGCCGGGCGCCGGGTCAGGCCACGGGCGCCGGTCAGGCGAGGTCGGCACCCGCCGCGCGCGCCGCCGCAGTCTGGATCACTCGGTGCGAGTCGGTCGCAGTGTCCTTTGTAAATTTCAGGCCCAGCCTAAGCGCGGTCGGTCAAGCCACTCGTCAGAAAAGATTCATGGTCAGGCCAGGTCGGTACAAATCACAGGTCAGTTCAAGTGAACATGCCCAGCCGGGTCGAGTTGGGTCGGGGTGGACATCAAACCATCAGGCCAGGTGACTGACCCAGACTACCGGAGGTGGGTCCGCAGGTGCCTCCCGAGGTCCCTCCCCTAGCTTACCTGGCCAGACCCGCGCCGCCTCCGTGTCTGGGTGGCGGGTCCGCAGTGCCTCCCGAGGTCTCCTCTCCCTCCCGAGGTCCCTCCCCACCTCACTGGCCAGGCCCGGCGCCGCCTCCGTGTCTGGGTGGTGGGTCCGCAGGTGCCTCCCGAGGTCTCCTCTCCCTCCCGAGGTCCCTCCCCCACCTCACCTGGCCAGGCCTGGCGCCGCCTCCGTGTCTGGGTGGTGGGTCCGCAGGTGCCTCCCGAGGTCTCCTCTCCCTCCCGAGGTCCCTTCCCCACCTCACCTGGCCAGGCCCGGCGCCGCCTCCGTGTCTGGGTGGTGGGTCCGCAGGTGCCTCCCGAGGTCTCCTCTCCCTCCCGAGGTCCCTCCCCCACCTCACCTGGCCAGGCTCGGCGTCACCTCCGTGTCCCGGTGGTGGGTCCGCATGTGGCGCTGTACGTCCGCCGCCCGCTGGCCGCACACCGGGCAGGCGGCGCGGCAGGTGCGACGGTGCTG